GGCCGTAATTTTGGCCGCTGCAGGTAGAGGAGCGGCTGCTGGGGTTTGAGTGGCAGCAGCACACATTACCCTTTAGCTACCCCTGCACCAATGATTCACATGAAACCACCCCTGCAACACATTCAGGAGCACCAACAACAAAATCATGATATTAACAAAGTAACAATCCTTATTGTCACATCCCAGAAGGTTTCCATGCCCTGGCTCTGATGGTGTCACATTAGTATAATCATCAAAGGGCAAAGTAAAGTTTCCCAAGGTAATACCAAAAGTGTAATTAGTAACAGAATCCATCACGTGATGCCCTTTAAAGGAACGATACATTTTGTTTAAGAATGACATGATGTAAGCTCTGTTCTAATCTCTGAACAAGCTGGAATTCAAACTATTCAGGCAATCTATCACAGCTCTAGTCGAGCCCTGCTTGAGCCCCACATTGGGTGCCAATTAATTTGTCGTGGTTTAGGCCAAATCGGCTACTGGGGACCTGGGGGACCCCAGATGGGACCGACAGATGCTCCCCTCTACCCCTCTTCTAAGAGAGGGGCAGAGGAGGGAAAAAGAAACATATGAGTTTAGAAGGAACTAAACTACTTTAATGAAATACTAATAATAAAGGAAATAATGAAATATATACAAAACCGTATCAAGCTCCCAGGATGACGATCACATCACCGGCTGGCACTGGGGAAGTCCCAGGCTGCACTCAGTAAAGGATGGGAACTGGATTCCAGGTCTGGATTTAGGATCAGGATCAAAGGCAGATGAACAGACAGAGTCCTCCTCAGATGTCGGCCATTGAAGAAAGAGAGCCCCCTGATCCTTTGATCCCTCAGCCTTTATACTGAGCATGAGGCAGATGCGATGGAATACCCTGTTGGTCAGTTTTGGGTCACCTGTCCTGTCCGCTCCTCCCTGCAGGTGGGACCCCTCTACGCTTTTCCGCTTCCGACCCTCCAATGGGGCAAATAACAAAGTTGGTTGGCCTTGGTTGTTATAGCAATAAGTCTAAGCAAGAGCCTCTCCGCTCTCTTGATGCTTTGGCATCAACTATAAACATAGGTCTTATCACTCTGAGAGCGAACATTGTCTGCAAAATATGCTGTTAATTTCTGTAGTTAGAAGAGGCCTAGCTAAGAAGCAAAGTTACTGAACAAAATTGGTTCTGTTTTACCTCAAACCAGGACAATAAATTTAATTATTTATAAAGGAGACTCCTAGACTTTCAAAGACATTGATTTTTTCAAAATAGGCCATTTATTGTTTTAATCAACTTCCTAGAACTTTGTTAAAGGGTTTTACAGTGGGTAGACACAGGTAGGGTTGTCCCTCTCTCAAAATCTACTGCACTGTTCAAAGCCTGTATCCAAATTTTGCTTACCTAATAACATGTCTGCCGATTATAAAGTAATTTAATTTATTTTTTTTTTTACTGGAGTTCAGTATGGAAAACTGAGGTTAAAAAGAAAGTTTGCCACATCAGGAATTTAGAAAAAAGGGAATGAGCCAATGTTATATTTACAATGCTAAATGGTTATGACCTAAATAATCTTGGAAAAGAATTATAATACAAATCAGTAGATTTCTTGTCCATTGCTCCCTAATTAGCAGTCCTCAAAGGGTCTCTCTACATATGACAGTCAAGTATTTTTTAAAGAACTACAATTTGGCTCGGCTAAATTAGCTTGGTGAGTGTAATCATTTATTTTCTTTGAAGACTCTGGAGGAGAGTGTGCTCCTGTGGACAGACATTTTTCTCTTCTTTCCTTCCCAAGCATGGCCCCTTTTTGTCTTTTTCTCTTCTCCCAGCACTTCATTCTAGTCTGAGTCAGTCTTTTAGTATTAGCTGTGAAAGCATACCTTCATGTGATACTCTGACCATTGAGCACATCTCAGTCTCTCATCCAATGTTGTTATGAGATACTGTGCAGTACAATTGCTTAGTTTAATCAGTCCAATTTGCCATCCTGGTTAGCATTTCTCATCCCTATTCTACTTTCTCCATTGTGCTACCACACAGGAAACTGCACGGGAGAAGTAATCCAGCTGAAAAATTCTGATGACCTCTCCAAATCTGTCCATCTTCAACATCTCCAAACAGGGTGCTGGAACAGCAGAGGGGACCACACAGTGACCCATGCAAGCCACAGACTGTGTAACCCACCCCATCTTTCCACCAGAAGAAATCAAATAAAACCATAGCTTTGTCTAAGGGGTTAAGTCCAGCAAGATCTGCAGAATTAAAGTCAGACACTTAAAGACTTTCGGGTCTGGCCTACTGGTTATGATCCTAGTGGTCTATAACCTTCTTTTGTTTCCTTTACCCATGTCAATGGAGAAGAGGAAGAGGGTTTCTCTGAGCTGACTGATTGAAAACCTCATAACAATGAACGTGAATGACACTGCAAGCTGGAACCTGGGCAGAATCAAGGAAGACTACAAAGCCCTGGGGGTGAAAGTGAAAAGTATTGGTGCCCAAGTTATCTTTTCCTCCATTTTACCAGTTAGAGGAAAGGGTGCTGCCAGAAATAGACATATAAAGCAATTCAACTGCTGACTTTGTGGTTGGTGTCGTCGGGAGGGTTTTGGCTTTTATAACAACGGGACATTCTTTGATGACTATAGCCTGCTCGGGAGGGACAGGATCCACCTGTCTAGAAGAGGCAAGGAAATCTTTGGGAGCAGGCTGGTCAACTTGGTGAGGCGTGCTTTATACTGAAGGACTCGAGTGAGCGGAATCCAAGTGGCAATGCTCATGCCATTGTAACCAACTGAGGAATGAGCCAGGCCAACCAGAGCAGCAACAAATGTCAACTCCAAGGGGAATCTTACAGTAGGCATCTGCTACTGACCTCCAAACC